CAGCTGCTTCACAAGGCGCCACATCCTCCTATCTTTTAACCGGCCCAAATGTGAGTGTCTTTTTTTTGAGGGTACCCTTTCAGGGCTGGTCTGGGGGAAGCAGGCAAACAACCCTTCTGCCTCTAGATTAACAAGTACTCAAATGCTTCATTTTCTGAAAATTGCGATCTAAATATGATTGGTGTCCTTTTGCCTTCCCTTCACATGCCCATCGAAAGTCTAGGGGATTCCCCATTCTTTTCAACGGTCGCTTTCACTGGGTTTCTGGAGGTTTTCTGGAAAGAAGGATCCCTGGAAAGAATGAAGAAGGTAGCCCTAGAAAACGAAGACCCAACTATTGTTTCTTTTTTTCTTTTAATAGCCATCCAAAAAATCGCTGGTGTCCTTTTTACCTTCCCTTCAACTGCCCACAAAAAGGGAAGGACCAACGCTTTTTCCAACTCTCCGAGCTGGGAAAAACTCTCCGGGTGCCCGGCAGACACCAGGCGCTCCAGGCGGTCGAAGCGCCGAGAGACGCCGTCCAGCTGGTCCTCCACGTGGTCGAAGGAGGTCAAGCAGTGCATGCAGGAGAGGAACAGCACCTCAAGTGTTTCCAATATGTTTTTTTATATTAAAAAAAAAAAAAAAACACATTAGTTCAATCAGCACCTCAAGTATTGTTCCAGTTTATTGTTTTATGTAAAAAAATAAATAAAAAGTCCAAAAAGAAGCTCTGAGGCGCTATTAGAGTCACCGGAAACTTGCTTTGTTGCATTCCGGGAAGAAAAAAGACCTTTAGTCCTATCCAAATCACGGAGGTGTAAGGTGAACATAGAGTCTATTTTGCAACTCGTTGCTTGGGGTGTGCGTCATTTAAAGTTGAGGCGTGCGAAACGGGGTTTGGGAGGGTGCGGGGGGCGTGGGGCGTTCGCCTGAGACAAGCGGAGAATAATGGGAATCGACCCATCCAAATGCCCAGTTTCGTTTGCACGCTCTGAAAACCCATCGACCCATGAGTGGGAGTGTGCTAATATGGATTTGTGCAGTCCGAGGCGCTGGGCTGCAGCAGGAGAGCAGTACGCACCCGGCCTGCCGAAGTGAGTGGAACATGACAGAACCGGCGAGACGACTTTGGGCCCTGGTCTTGAACGAAGTCTGGGGACGGGATGCGAAATGAAATTAGAATAAGTCTTTAAGTGGTCAAACAAATTGGGAATAGAACCGGAAGTGGACGATTTTGGGCCACCCTGAAAGAGAAGCTTTGTCCAAAACCCTTCAAGCCAACATGAAGGTCCTCATCCTGTTGCGGGGAAACCTGCCAAGCGCACCCATCAATCCACGATACTGCGCGGGGTCTCTCGATGGCCGCCAAAACGTCCAAAGGAGACCTGCAAAACTGTGGTGGTCCTTTGGTTTCCCTTGAGAGACCATCCAAAAGGGTCCACGAACCAATCTTAGGCTACGTCTAATCATAGTGTGAACAAACTCTTGTCTGTTGCACCAGCCGCGACTGGCATGCGCATCATGGGCTTGACCAAAGGGTACACCTTTTTTGGGGCGGCACCTTTTGGGTCGGCATCTGTCACCTGAGCCCCACACAAGAGCGAGCAAAGCTTCAAAAGCCATGGCTCCTTCCAGTGACCCCAAAGAAACCACACTTTTAACATGAACAATCATGGAAGTGGGACTGGGGTTGGAAGACGACCACCTCGAAAAGGCTTCCACTTCCAGTCCCATTTGCGAGGGAACGTGTTCACCGACCA